CGCTGCATGTGCTCGGAAAAACCCCTTCCTGCCAGCCACCACCTACCACATCACATTTCCCAGAAACGCTGAAACCCAGAAGCCAGAATTTTCCTTGGTTGCAAGACAGTTACAAAATGCGACAACATTGTTGCCCTTTGGACTTAGCCAGACTAAGTCCCCAGAATTTACCCGCCGCCTCAAGTGAAAATGGGAGAAAATCGAACTGACGCAATGGCGTCTTGCTGATGGCATTCACTTTATTTTCGATCTCACATCGTTTTCATCTGTTTTTCTATTTTTTTTTTTTTTTTTTTATTGTTGCCTTTGTCTTGTCCCATTTGGTGTTGCAATTGTGTGCGAATTTGTTGCAATTTGATTTTCTATTATCGAATAATTTGTTGAAATTTTAGTCGAAGGAAGGAGCGAGCAACCAGCAACCAGCAACAGGGAAAATTAAATTGTGTTACATTGAATTTCTGGTTTTTTTTTTCCTGTTAAAGGGAAATAAAATGATGAACAGATGCTGGAATTTTATACGATAATCATCGTTGGGTATCATAATGCATAATAGCATTATAAAATTTCATTTTTAAATATTTTCATTAATTTCTAGACAATTGTGTTTAATTAAAATTCAATCAGTTCTCTCTCTATCTCTCTCATTTAACTTGATTTATTAGAAATAACTTATGTCCGAAAAAGCCTGTTAATTTGGCTTGTTACGATTGGAATTCCGCTCCTGTCAACGTCATTAAAATGCCAAGTCAAATGTGATTTCGCTGGGCGAAATGGAAATTGGAATGGGAGTGCCACTGAGGCAAACAAAGCAGGACCAAGCAATGAAATCTCTGCAGCAAACAAAATCAACAAAAATGCAACAAAAAAAAAAAAGAAGTTAGTACCGTAGGGATCAGAGAAAAAAAAAAAAGAGAAAAAGAAGACCAAGAGGCCGCCCGTGGAAATTGACAAAAGCAAACGAAATCAAAAAGCGAGAGACAATGGGCAACAGTATTGCATATTGATTGCGAACGGCAGCAGACCTGAAACTTCCCCTTCCCCTTCTCAATTCCCATTCCCCTTTCGCCACCACTTTCACCATTTCCCCTTTCGGCTTTCCACCCAGCCCCCGCCCCCCCCCCTGTTTTCCCAACACACGCTCTAACCCTTGGCAAATCAAATTGATTTGGAAATCCTTTTGGACAGCAGCGAGTGCAACAGAGAAAAGGAGTCCCAAAAAGTGGAGTTGGTGGGCGGTGATACAGTGAGAAAAGCACTAAAAGTTCTCTTAACTTTTGATTAACTTAATCTAAACTTAACTTAAGACTTAAATTTGATTAATTTTAGTATTTGCTTTAAGTGAGTAAGATGTAAGTTGCAATTAGTTGAAGTTATAAATAGTTAAAAGGCTTTTAAACTATTATTTACTTTTAAACTACAGTCCAATTTTCTCTTAGTGTAAAACTATGGGGTCCATGCAATGTCATGTCCCTTGACAACTGGAAAAATGTCTAACCATTGTTGTTGCTGGCTGCTCCGCTTCACTGTGATGTGATTTTTGGGCATTGCAATTTTCTAAGCGGCTTAAAGGTGTTCATTCCGAGTCATTGACTCGTCAGCTTCCCCACCAATTCAACCCCTCACCCCCTCAAACCTCGCTGAACTTATGCAATTTGTGTAGCTTAAAGCTACAAAAAAAAAAAAAAAAAAAAAAAAAAAAACAGAACAGAAAAAAAAAAATAAAAGAATGTCCCCAACGGCGAAAAAAGAGAGAGGTAACTAAATGGAGGTAACATGGTTTTTATGCGTTTCGATCTCTACATACCACGGTGGTTATGTTTTACAAACTGCGGGGTATCAAGGGTTCTATAGGTTTATCAAATATATAATAATAGTAAGTAATAAAATGGTTTTCATAGGAATTTTACTATAGTTTATAAGTAAGTATTAAGATGTTATTTTGAGTATTAAATTGCCATAGTTAAGTAGATAGCCATTGGTAAAATAAATATAATTTTAAGCTTTTAATTTAAGGAATTTTTATATAAAAATTGTATTCTTATTTCCAATAATACATTTCTTATATTCCTTTACTTATAACTTTACCAATAGATAAAGCTTATTCGTTTATATTTTTGTTTTATTGTTTGGGTTTTATATATTCTTTTTATTGGCCCTGTTATTTTTTTGCCCCCTTCCCCTCAAACTGACCACAAAAGTATATTTAAAATACTGTAGACAAGTGTAAAAAGTGGCAAAACGTTACGCGGTTGCATTCGATCGTTATGTGGTTCGGTTTTTGTTATCCACTGCACCGCCCACATTGTGGTTTGACAATTTATGGAGCTGCCCATACATTTTCCAACCGCCCACCGAAAAAAAAAAAAATTGCAGAAAAAAAAAAGAACAAACGAATTGAGAGAAATTTCCATTGCGAAAAATAATTAGAAAATCGTCTTGCAGGCCAACAAAATTGCATGTCAATGCATTTTATTTAGTGTTTGTCCATTAGAAGCACACAGATGGCCAAAATATGTTGGAAATTATTTCTGTTGCACAATTGCGGCAACGAGGCGTATGTGTAATATTTCAATCGAAACAATTCAATTCTTTCCCCCTTTTTCTTGGCTATTACGAAACAAGCTCAGCAGTCATGCACACTAAACTCTTGAACAGAAGTTGAGGAAAATGTTTGGAAAATCACTAAATTGTGAAAGCATTCAAAAATTTGAAAGAAAAAAGGAAAATAAATAGAAAAAAACTCGTTTACCATTGAAATTAGTAACGAAATACCAGAATTCAAATGAAATAAACTTTAAAAACACAATTTATAAATATAACTATATGGAAAAGCGCAATATTAAATTAATGGCACATTCAATTTGCTTGAAAACTGTAAATTACCGCAAGGAAAATGTGCGGGAAAAAGTGTGTGGGAAAAGCACTAAGCCCGCTAATTAGTCAAAGGCAAAAATTGTTTGCAAATGTTTGTCGCAAATAGATAATTGCAGCTGCGGCGAGATGTTGGGCGTTGGGTTGGGATGGGTTGTGGGAGTTTGTCGAGTGTAAATGCTGTGGCAACTTATGCCGCACACGTTCGCCAGGACACTGGCTTAATATGACATGTGGGCGGGTTTATTCCGCAGAAGTCCTGCCGCAGACAGAGAAGCCGCAAGTCAGCAGCAGCAGCAGGAGCAGGAGTAGGAGCAGTACCAGAAACCAGCCAAACGGTGGCAAAGGGAGGTGGAGACAGGGACACCTTTGCATGTCAAAGCCGCCCACAAAACCCTAGAAAACCAAACTTGTTCGTTGCCAACAATCTCAAGTTTCCCGCTGAGATAGCCGGGATTTTTCCACATAAAAAGGGTTGTCAGTTAACTGTCATTCATAAATTACATTTTAATTATTAAATAAATTTCAATTGACTTTATATTTATTACAAATATTTAAAGAGTTATTTCGATTTTAAATTATTAAAATATATATAAAAGTATAGAGCATGAATATCAGGCATTGAAACGCAGCTTTAATAGTTTTTGTTATATTTAAAAATTTCTTATATAAAGGGAAAGTAAATTTGAAAGTAAATTTTTATTTTATTGTTTTTGGAATGCAAATAATAAACATGGTAAAAATTCCACACATCAAATCAAAGTCTTGGCCCTAAACGAGCTGAGTACTCAGCACCCACATCTCCTGCAGCGTCATGCCACAACCCCCTCTATGAAGGAGGCAGAACCACCACCCCATTCTCTTCCCCATAACCATAACCATACCATTACCCATCACAACCCATCCCCTTAAGGAACCCCGGATCTTGGCTGCTACGTCGTCGTCGCTGTCGTGAAGGTGTCGTGTTGAACATGTTAGGTGTCTTGTCGCTTATCATGTTAAGTGGGTGCACCCACGACTACGTGCCCGGCATGTGGAGAGCATAGCCCCAGCCCCTACTCTCAAGAAGTGGGGGCGGCTACGACGGCGGCGGCGGAGGTGGCGGCCATGTGTCTATGGTAATTTTCATAGAAAATATGTAAAATTTCCAAGACGCACAGACAGACAGACAGTTAAAGAAAAACAACAAAAAATAAGAGCAGAGCAAGTGGGGAAATTAGCAACAACATTTGCCACTCATCTCGATACTAAGTACACCGGAAAAAACAAATTAGAAATACAAAAAAAAATATATTTACTACTCAAATACTTCGAGAGAATTTCTAATTGTTTAAATTCCTTTTTAGAAAAAAACAGAGAAAAAAAATATTTAAGAGGCGTCCCAAAAATCGAATTTAAAACTACTTTTCCTTTGTCAAGAAATTCCTTTTTTTTACCTCTATTTTGGGACAGTGTACTCTTGAGCCTGACGCTCCTTGGGCCTTCTGTCACTTGGCCTACTCCTGGCAGCTAATTTCTTTTTAAAGTGCGCGACTCTGGCTCCTTGGGCTGCACGGTGTGATGATGCTGCTGATGCCGGGACAAGCTCATTTGCACCTCATTAAATGCTGCCACTCGACCCGATGACGACAACGAGTGGAACAAGAAACGACAGCTAAATCAGTGCCCAAAGAATACGACATACTCTTGTAAGCATAACCATACACCTATGTAACACCAAAAGGCAGGGGGCTTGTTTCTTTTCAACGGCAGGGCTGAGGGAAACCCGAGCCAGTGTTTACATCTCGCGGGCTAATGAATCCTTATCCTCATTCTCATTCCCCAACCTTGTTTTTAGGAGGATCGTAGGATGTGTCAATTGATGGAATTTTACGACGTGACAAAAAAGCAACATAATTGGCTAGGTAAAACAATGTTGTAATTCCCATATTAGCAGGTCTTACAAATATACATTAAACGTAGATATTAACATCTAGTGATCTAAGGAAGCGAGATACATTTGTGAGCTGTTGTTCATCTTCATTAGAAAGTGAAAGGACAAAGCTAACTTTGTCACATTTACAGCGTCTAAAACAAGGCGACAAAATATGTTGAATTCGGAAACTTTAATAAAAAGAGTGACTGGGAGTAAGAAATAAAATTCGAGAAAACAGAATGGAATGTATTTTGATGAAATAATAATGATAATGTCTATAACTTACAACTAAGAACAATTATTCACCAAATTATTTGTCATTCATAAGAAAGTAGGAGAAAATATTTAAGACTGTGAAATATGTTTAAAATCTTCGAAAAAATATAGAAGATATAGATATAGAAATATAAAATAGAAAAACATTTCAGGGATAACTGACCTTAAATATCCGTATTATTAAAGATGCTGTTTGGAATTGGTTGATTGTTGAGCGACGTTTATAAGTTTTTCTATATTATTTATGCACCTTAACATCGTATCATCCTTTTTTCGTATGCAATTATCATAAATTCATTTCACTTTTTCACTTTCACTTTTCACTGAAAAATAAAAACATTTAACATTATTAGAATTTATACGGAATCACATACTTTAGGATCACTCACCTTAAGGCAACATGGTACCACACACAAATGCAGATATCATACATTCATTTCACTTTTTTACTTTCACTTTTCACTGAAAAAAAACATAAATTATTATTAGAATTTTTAAAGAATCACATACTTTAGGATCACTTACCTTAGTTTTTAAATTGATTCAGCGCAGGTTATGGAACTTCCTTCGAAGTTAAGTTGGTGTAGGATCAATATAATCCTAGACTATTGCTTTAGTTTGGGGAAAAAGATTTTAAGGGGTTCTAGCCTTGCAAAATTTGGTCAGTTGGTTGTTCAAAACTAATCATTACTTTTCTGATCTGATATGTACAAATCATATATGGTCGAGTTGCTTTAAGATTTGCCAATTTGCCATTTTTCCTCTAATTTAGCTTGAGGTACTTTTAGTGCGGTTACCTACGCCCTAAACTAACAGCTGACTATTCATGTAATGGACAAATTAATCGTCTCTCGTGAGATAATATCATCTCAATATATGTTGTGTTGCAATGGAAAAAAGTATAAAAAGGGCACTGACCTTATTTGATGATATGATGATTTAATGAATTGATGATTTGATGATTTGATGATTTGATGATTTGATGATATGATGATTTGATGACTTGATGACTTGATGATTTGATGACTTGATGATGTGTAGTTGACTCGTACGTAGATGTATGTAGAATGTAGGTAAAGTTGACTTATCCCACGGGGCACCGATTACATAGTTCGGCATGTCCCACGGGGCACCGATTCATAGCTCGGCAATTAAAAATTGATCATTATTAGAATTTGTATTTTTTAAAAAGGTTAATTAATTCATTTCCACATACCTCAGGGTTCGATACTATTTAAGTTTCTTAATTATTGGTATAGTTTACCTCGGTTGAAGTTACAAAACTTCGAGTTGCCTTTATGGTGGTCATTGCAATATAACTTATTTGATTATATGCAATTTTTGATAGATAAATTTGGTATAGCAAATAGAAAAATTTAAGATTTAAAATTTAAGATTTAAAAGTTAAGATTTAAAATTTAAGATTTAAAATTGAATTTAGCATTCAAAAAGCTAACTCATATATTTATACAATATGAGCCTAAAGTTGACATGTCCCACGGGGCACCGATTACATAGCTCGGCATGTTAATTCGTCCCACGGGGCACCGATTACATAGCTCGGCATGTTGATTAGTCCCACGAGGCACCGAGTCATAGCTCGGCTTATAGCTCGGCCAATTTATCATTATTAGAATTTATTTAGAAACAGATATTTCATTGTCACTTACCTCGGAGTTCGATACTGTTTAAATTTCTTAATTGCCTTCTCTCGAATGTACCACCTTACGGCGGTTGCAGTCTCAATATATTCCTAGATTGGTATTTCAGTTTGGGGAAAAATATTTCAAAGTTCTTGTTTTGCGAAATGATGGTTGTTTATGGTGGTTTCGCATTTCAATAACATATATAGTAATTTATCTGACCACATGACATGTACATATATACGATCGGTTTTAAATTCGAAAAAGCTCCTACTCTATTTAGCTTGAATTTCTTTTGGCTGTTTGGCATTTTTGCATTTTGGCAAGACAAATAAAGTCTAAAGCTAAACTACCTAATTTCTAAACTAGCATCTGAGTATTCAATTATTGACCAAAATATTCGCATTTTAGTATAGTAATAATATAATGGGAAAAAGTATAAAAGGGCGCTGACCTTACTTTTGTTAGATTTGAAGATTATTCAGCATCGCATTTGACATTTTCGGTGTCCCACGGGGAGAAACAGGGCTGAAAAGAAGCAAAACAAAACTCGATAAGAACACTGAATAAAAGGGAAATTAAGGTAAGTGGTCCCAAAACATAATTTACATTGAATTGCTATGAATTAATATTATATTTATGTATATATTTAATTATGAGAGCATTTTCATATAGACAGAGATAGAGCAGGTAAATTGAGATGCTCACACATACAGTTCGATGGATCGCGAAGCGGATAAATATTAATACAATATAATTTAAGTGATAATCAAAAGGCTGCCTTTAGTTTTTTCAAATAGATGCATTTTCTTTTACCTCCTAAAGCAGCAACACTATATGCTTGTAATTCGTGTATCAATCCCACCATTCAAAAGTGACAACTACAACTCTGCAAAGCGCCAACAACAATGCCAAGTCGCTGACAACAGCAAGCGGATAACGGATCTTAATCGATCGCACTTTTTCGTCTACTCTTTACCTAGTGGTACTGGGAGTACTAATGTTTAAGACCAACTGTACAAAAACTGAGAGAAAAACCAGCAAGGAACAGCTTAGGGGCAGACCGAAAAGAGAGGATAACGGTTCTTTATGTTCCTTCTCCCCTCTTCTTATTAGGATGTTACCAAGGAGTGCTACTGTCTATGTCTGGCAACTGTACAAAAACTGAGAGCCTTCGTGGAGCTAAAGATGAACACGAGAAAGAGAGAATAACGGACCTGCGTTTTGCTTCTTCTCTCGCACTTTTCATGTGGATGGTATCTAGCTGAAAACTGTAAAGAAGAGCTTAGGGTGCACACGGGAAAGAGAGGATAACGGATCTTCGCTTTGCATCTCCTCCCTCACTCCTCTTTGTCACAGCATTTAATTCAATTTGGATAAAATATTTTATGGCCATTAAATATGATTTTCCTTATGACCCAATTTTCTAACTGGGATTACTTTAAAATTCAGAAATTTCACCACGCATATACTTTTTTTGTTCACACGTTGATAATAAATTACTTACATGTATTCACATTTTTTAGTCGCGTACACATACATTCTCACCTTGCCAGCGGATCACCATATGTATGTATGTAGTTGGGCATAAAAAATAGAAAAATTCACAATTAAATGAATATACTCGTATATTATAAAAAACTATAACACTTTTCCGCGATCACTTTATCTGCTTTTTTTCCGCACTTCTTCAAAGCCCAGACAATAAGTGCGTGTTGCCTAGGAGTGCACCGCTTCCAGACTGACAAGTGGTCAACCAAAAACCTCTGCAAATTTTGACTGCAGAAGGTTTTGCGAAAGAGACGATAAGCAGCGCTGCCAAAAGATCTTACTTCTGCTTCCTACTCTCAATTTTTCCTCTCCCCTTTGTCATTGCATTTCAAAACATACGCGATGACGTCATCGCCATGTAACTCTTGTCGAATTATTGATTTTTAATGCCATTTTTTTTTCGGCAATAAATCGAATTACTACTTGCGGTTTTTTAGCTGTAACTCGGCCAAAATAAGTCGTACAGCAAAAAGAATGACTGTTTTGTGAAGCTAATAAACTAAGCTAATGGACCTTATCATAAAAAAAATTGTACATTTTTTAACCAATTTTCTTTTTTTTTTATATAAGGAAAATGTTTGAATCATACATACATTATTACGGAAAATTACTAAGAATTTCCTTTAATAATTTTAAACTCTATTTAAATGATATTTAAATTACAAGCTCAATGAGTTGCTGATGTGTTTTTTTTTTTTTGCGAAAAGTGGGAGAACGGCGCTGCCAATAGATCTTCTGCTCTCACTCTCACTTTTTCCTCTCCCCTTTGTCATTGCATTTCAAAACATTCGCGATGACGTCATCGCCGTGTAACTCTTGCCGAATTACTGAATTTTAATGCCTATTTTTTTCTTGGAAGTAAATCGAATTATTTCTTTGGGGTTTTAAGCTCTAACTCCGCCAAAACAAGTCGTACAGCTAAGAGAATGACTGTTTTGTAAAGCTAATGAACAAGGCTAACGATCCTCATTATTAAAAAAAAATAATTTTTGGCAAGATTTTCCATTTTTATAAGGGGTAGTATAAAAAATTATTAGGGAAAATGGCTAATATAGAACCTATGTATATAAGCTATTCAAACCCGCTTAACCAAAAAATAAAACCAAACTGACCTGACTGTGGGGGTGATCTAAAAGTTGAGCATACCCAAAATGTATGACCATCATAGCCTCAGTTTTTAAAATAGAAGTCACCGGCAATTAGGTCGTATTTTAATTGAGCTGCATTGTTGCATCTGTTTGGCATCGGACCCTTGAAGTGCTCGACTCAGTGCCCACTCTACTCCACTCCAATTGAAACCACGTGGCCACGTGGAGGCCCCAGATCGCAATTATTATTATCCGTCCGTTGGACGGGCTGGGCTCGCGTTGCCCATTAAATCAAATTAAGTTAATTTGCCGCACTGCGCACACAATAACGTCATCAGAGAGCACCATACCACCGCCCTCGAGTGTGTCTGAGCACTGCTAATAAACGTCATCGATGCATTGATGCATGCCAATTAGCAGGAGGAGCTGTAAACTGGAAATAACCATCATGGACATGGAGTCACTCCTACTCCAGATCCCCCTACTGACTCCTCCATATTCATCCAACCAACCAACCATACATCCATCCATCTACTGATGATGCCGCAGCACATCATCTTTGGCACAAAAACTCAACTGCAATTGCCGCATTAATTGCAACTGTCAACCGGCTGTGACCCGCTTAACCCTTGACTGCCTGTCTCCGCCCTCGCCTCCTGCCCCCATTCTACTACTACTCCTTCTCATCCTGTCACGCATCCTGTCAACCCAGCCGCCTGCCTGATGGGAATCCTTCCGCCATCCTTTCGCGTAAATCCCCGCGGCCGGAGTCAATCATCCGGACAGACAGGCAACACGATTTTCAGTACAGTGAACCACCGAAGGAACGTAGTAATTATGGCCAAGGACCACAGTACATACTAGTGTATACTTTTTTTGTACTGCTGCCAAGGAAGTGCATTTTTTTCTCATCAATGGCTAATCATAAATGCCTTGTTTAAGTCATCCTCCACCTACGAGCTCTTTTAATTTCATAAACAAATATAAATTTAAACTGCTTCTTAATGATTTGAGCATTTAAGAAAACTGAAGAGAGTTGATATATGGTTTCGTTTTTTTTTTTTGCCAATGGTCTTTCATCCATCTCGACAAGTTGACAATCAACGGTCTGGTTTTGTGCATACCAGGACGAGGATAAAATGAAGATCATCCATCAGCAAATCATTGACCATCAAGGAGTTATTGTCCGGGCAGAGATTGTGCCTTACTTTATGTCCAGGCCATTTCTTTGCCATTTATTCTGAGCCGGGCTTTAAGTGTTTTCGAAGAAGGCGGCAATTGGGGGGCGGAAAACTTTCAAAAGCAAATTTCCCCCGAGGATCCGGGTATCCAAGGAGCCAGAGAGAGCTAGAGCTCCTCCTACGCTTCCTTCTTCTCCTCCTACTTAGGTTGCCGGCGACTATAAACGTCATCGGAATTCCCCAAAGCCATTAAGCGCAAATGTATGCAACACCCAAGCCAACCGGAAAAAAAGTGAAGCTCTGGCAAGCTGAACTGAAACAGAAACTGAAACTGAAATAACTGAAAAATGTGAGCTGGCATGTCCCGCCAATATCTCACGCCCGTTCCCCGCCCTCCAATCTTGGCAACACTTCATTAGCAAGCTCTGGAAAAAAGCACCAGGACCTCTTACTACTACTACTTCTACTCCTTCTCTTTCTCTCCCGAATCCTCCTTCTACTCCACCTCCTTCTCAATAATTTCATTTTGCAACACTATTGGCTCGCCTTGAACTAAAAAGTAATTTCATTGATTACCAGCGAGTCCTCGCGCAGAAAGGATAACAAGCCAAGCCAAGCTACCAAACGAAAGCCCTACACTGTTAATTAAATTTGAAATATGTAATCAGGTTAAAATTAGAGATTTTGGGGTAATAATTATGCCTTTAACTATTTGGAAAATCTATCTACGTACTAAGAAGTAAACTCCCTTGAGAATTGGTTTTAAAAACACTGCCTTTCTTGGTATTAATTAACTTATTTATAAAACTCTTAATATTTGTGTTGTAAGAAAGCTTTTTCACAATAAAAATTGTACTACGAATTTACTTTAGATTGTTTTTAAAAGTTTACTTATTATATAATTATAATTAATAATCCGAATATCATATTTCTCACTGAAAGGAAGTGAAGTGAAGAAAATAAAGTGAAGTGAAATAAAATATTTAATTTAAAACGCCTTTCCTAACAGTGTAATCAGCCAAAAGCCAAGCCATAACCAAACCGAACCCAAACAGAAGCAAAGCGAGCAACGACACCAGCCACTTGGGATTTTGTAGGGGAATGGATATTGGTCTTGGTTCTGGTACTGGTCCTGGTCTTGCGCTTCCCTTGTCCCTTCCTTCATACTCCAACGCCAACATTTCGTCCTGTCAGTGGCATATTGGAGAGGGCTCCATGACTGCGGTTATTTCGGAATGGTTGGGGATGCCCCGATATGGCATCCATTGTTGCGCTGTAAGTAGCACTTTCATAAGCAAACACAACGAGCGCAAATCAAAATCGTAAAGCGTTCGATTTCTTAAGTAAATCAAATAAAAATAAAACAAATCATCTATAGACTTCAATAGACACTCGCACATTGGCATTGACGTTATAAATATATATCTTTAAGAATTGGTATCCACCAGATATTGGTATAAGTTAGAAATTTGATACAGCAATTATATGAAATCTTTTATAATTAACATACATTATCATAAGAAAAGTTCTTAAATGAATATTACTGATAAAGCTTTTGATATTATACTACATTAATGCCTTAAACCTTGATAAATATTCAAGAAACAACTTAAGAAAAATATCTAAAATAACGATAACCCACTGTATTAAATGAATGGATGACTGACTGTCAGCCTTTGTCTGCCTGGTGGGTGACTTTCCCATCCAGTTTCCCTTCCTTGCCCTGCCCTGCCTTGCCTTTCCTTACCAATCCACCCACTTACTGGGCAATCAAAATGTCCTGCCCTTTCGACCCCTTACAGAAAATGAATGATTGGATCAATGACGATGAGTGAATGGGGGTTACTTTTTGGGGTTCATAGAGGGGCGAAGGTTGCGTCTTTGTAACTTTGAATGCCCCCAGTTTCCCTACGCGTCCGTCCCGCTACTCTTCCCCCTCAGCGATGTTTCCCCAGTTGTTACCCATTTTTCCCCCTTACTGAACCAACCATACAAAGCACTGTAATGGCTTTGTTGCCGTGGGAGTCCTTTTGGCTGTGTGCTCAAGCCAAGGAATCGTTTCCAATGCCTTTAATGATAAGCTGGCAGTTTTCCTGGCTATCCCCCCGGCTGGGTTTCTTCCTTCTAGCTGCGAAAATTAACTTATCAAACATACATTACCGACCCGAGTTAACATTTAACAGCATTAACGTTAACACACAACCGGCAACTCAAGTGGGGATTCCCCACATTTTCTTACCCAGCTATACCCTTTTTTCTTACAACTTGTACACAGAAAATATTAATAAAACTACCAAATCACTTCTTAAGTTTAAATTGAGAACAATCTCATACATTAAATGCTTTTGTTGAAATTTAAACAACAATTCTGATTCTTAGTTAAAAACTATAAGAGTTTAACTAGTTCACATTTTCTTGGAATTATTTCAAAGTTATATTATTATATTATTTATTTTTCCACGTGTGCCCCTTTTGCCAGCCAACAATCGACCTCAACCTTAACTAATGGCAGAAAACGTTCACTTCGAATTCCCCAAACAATTGAAAGTTGCTGCCGAGTTGCTGCGCCTGGCAGGGTCGTGGAAATGTGGAAAAACGGGGTCGGAAAAGCGTGAAAAAAGAAAAGCACACATTGCCTCGAGCTGTTGTTGGTCGCTGATTGAGTTGGAGCGCTACAGCTTCACTGGATAATGGATAATGTGAATCGCCCTCTACACCGACCAATGCAGGTTTCTCTAACTCAGATTTAAAGAAATATTTAACAAGATCATAAAATAATAATAATTCATTGCAAGTTGTATTATAACTTGAAGTTTCAGTTAAAAATAATAATTATCTAAAATAAAAACAAATAGGAGAACAAATTTTCTTCACAATTTCCCAAAAACATTCATTTCAGGTTCTTTGGATTTTTTTTCCCGTATGCTCACCATCTGCCTGCCGTCGAAATAAAATGATTTAATGGCCGTTGCCCGAACAATAAGTCTAAGTGCGACCAGAATGCCAGCAGCACATGGACGTAGACCCCATTTTGGCTGACTCCCCCCAAAAATTCCAATCCCCGAAGCTCCCCTTCCCTTTAGCAACAGAAATTATTGGAAAATTCATTAATAAGCGAAC